GGACAGCAACGAGAGCATGTACGAAGCGGAGCGGGTCGAGTTTGGTCGTTGTAGGACTAGCCACAGCGGCACCGGATAAGCGGCACCGGAGCAGCGGCACCGGAGTAGCGGCACCGGAGCATGCGGACGGCATTGAACCTTGTCGCACGGACAAACATCTCTTGTGCCGTCAATTGTTTTCCTTCTTGTCTTTTCCTGAATAGACAATAATAGGTGTTGGGTGTGCGACGACGTCACTGGTTTTGTAGAGAGACGCGGCAGAGATGGCGCGGATAGCCCGGGTGCCTTAATTGTGTACCTTCATCGTGGAAGGCCCCTTCAATGTGGAACGATTCCTAGTCAGTGTCGATGTTTACACTGCTGTGCCTAACACAGATGATCTGGATAGATTCGGGTGATTGTCAATTGCAATGATGGCTTTGGTTGGGTGTTCTTCTTCATTGAATGTCTACGGACTCATTCTGACAGCACTTCAGACAGCAGCTGCATGCCCCGAGCTTGTGTACCATGCACCATGGTGTTATTATTGTACAGATAGCACTTCAGACAGCAGTGCGCCGTAGAGCAGCGGCGGGTATTAAGAACCACCTAGGCCACCTCCCACGCCAAAAGCTCGTTCTTCGGCAGTAAAACCGTTTACGAAGATATTTAGGTATCGAACGATAGTCAACAATACCACCTATCTGTCCCCCCCCAAAAAAACGTCGTTAGTGACGAGGCACAACTGTTTCCGTTTGCCCAAGTTNGACCCTTCTGCGTCTAACACAGATGATCTGGATAGATTCGGGTGATTGTCAATTGCAATGATGGCTTTGGTTGGTTGTTCTTCTTAATTGTATGTCCACGGACTCATTCTGACAGCACTTCAGACAGCAGCTGCATGCCCCGAGCTTGTGTACCATGCACCATGGTGTTATTATTGTGCAGACAGCACTTCAGACAGCAGTGCGCCGTAGAGCAGCGGCGGGTATTAAGAACCACCTAGGCCACCTCCCACGCCAAAAGCTCGTTCTTCGGCAGTAAAACCGTTTACGAAGATATTTAGGTATCGAACGATAGTCAACAATACCACCTATCTGTCCCCCCCCAAAAAAACGTCGTTAGTGACGAGGCACAACTGTTTCCGTTTGCCCAAGTTGAAGTTGAAGTCTTGAGGGTCAAACCGCCCGGGGGGGAATAACAACCATTTTGACGATTGGTTGATTGCGGGGGGTTGAAACCGTTCCAAGACCCAAGATTTAACAGGCATGCGCCCAACACAATGGTCGTGAAGAAAGATCAGATTTCTTTTTTCGGTGCCATCAGGATATGAAAATGGGATATCCCCGGGTTGTTGACGCAGATGTGGGGGGCGGGATTTGCCTCCGCTTGCCTATACGGCGTGATATGTGCATTGAAAACGAATAAAAGTAACCGGTTTGGGGCATGAACGGGTGGCTCCTGTCAATAGCCGACCACGAAAAAAAAAATCACACCGAACGGAGTTGTTACGGTCAAAATATAGTTGTTCAAAAATGGGTATATTTTCGGTATTTTGCGTGCCGCTATGGCAAGAATCAGCCCCGTACACCACTCACCCTGGATAGTCTATTCTGGACTGTTCATACATCCTCATGACATGAAATTTGGAGGGAGCATTCAGACATGAATGATAAACATTTATCGCAAAAAAAAAAAGGAGGTCACCCGGGGACAGAATCACGACATCGCCGGTTTTCGGTCAAACGCCCCCCCCCGCCCCATTGGCATGCTATAACGCCACCGTTTCCTATGCTACTATCAACAAGCAACGTGCAACAGGGTACGTATCGACTCCACGTAAAAACTGATGACTGTTGTAGCTTGTTTTGTCCTACTCTGAGTGTGGTAGGAAACAAACCAAGGAGAGTCTCATAGGCGGCTCCACGACAACAACGGGTGTCCGCGTCCGCTGTCGTCCAACCCGGGACAAGGAGGGTGCCGGCTGGCGAACGGGCAAAGCCGCCCGTTGCGCTGCAGCCGCTCCTTGACCACGGCCAGGTGAGGCCCCTCTTCCAGCCCCTGTTCGGCCGCGCCCCCCGCCCCCTCCCTTGCCTGGTAGCCTCACGTCCCTCCCCCATCCCGCGCCCCCCTTGCCCTCCTCGCCCTCCTAGCCCNCGGCTGGCGAACGGGCAAAGCCGCCCGTTGCGCTGCAGCCGCTCCTTGACCACGGCCAGGTGAGGCCCCTCTTCCAGCCCCTGTTCGGCCGCGCCCCCCGCCCCCTCCCTTGCCTGGTAGCCTCACGTCCCTCCCCCATCCCGCGCCCCCCTTGCCCTCCTCGCCCTCCT